CTGAATTTAAATGTTTCCACTGATCTAACTGATTAAAAACTATATGCACTATATTTTTATGTTTGATAGTTGTGAACAATTAATAAGTAGCTTTGGATTTAGGCATTTATTAAGAAGGTGTATCTGTAACTTTTAGGCAATTATTTATCGCCCTGGGATTCAATCATACATCACACAATGTAACAACCACAGACATTACCATGAGGTATTCAATAAACGAGTGATCTGTTTTAAGATTAGGATTTATGTACTCATTGAATTGTCACTGAAGCCATGTTTACCTCTTCCTGAATACTGATTTATTTCTTCGGGAGTCAGTGGTAAAAACGTATTGTTAATTTTGATAATCTAATTATGGTCACGAAATTATTCAAGTCCTTTTCAATCATAATGTTCTTCCACAGCTAAACTACCTATTTTTACTAAAAACACAGAAAATAAACTTTTATAAAAAGAAATTAAATCATAATAAACAAGATAGTGGTTTTATGGAGCCGAATTTAATAAATTATCCAGTCTTCATCCTTCTTTTGTGGTTTACTCCACTGTAAACATAATTATTCAATTACATAATAGAATAAGTTTAAGATTCATATTTTGATATGTTCATTTTTCTAGAAAATGAATATAACCACCTTATTCTATAATCGTTAGAAAACCAGTTAATTATTTTTTTCTAGCAAAGTACATACCTATTTATTGAATCAATAAACCAGTAGACTAAACACTGGGAAAATGAAGAAAGAATTATTTTCATTAGAAATAAGTAAATATACATTGGTATGCATATTTTTTTACCCTATTCGCTTGAACCAATATTATTCATTTGCTCATCAAAAAATTCCTACATGAAACAAGATATCTGAGGATTCAAAGAATCACGTTTCGGGATTCGTTATCAAAGATCAATTTATTTGTAAAATTACTGGAGTGGGGTTATTGTGTATTATATATATAGCAATCTCTAGATTGTAATCTTACATAAAATGTTTTGATCTAATCATATTCATGTATTTTTAAATGGTAAATCAACCATTATTTCTGCCACCAATTCACATCTGCGACATATACCGGTTAAGGTTGTTAAAGTAGACGAACTATTGATCATACAAACACATACACGTAGTTTTGAAGTGGGGGAAAAGAGTTTCGGTTCAGGAGCAAGATTTTGGTGGTGTTTTATTCACTCAGTTGAATTTAGAAAAGCATGATACTCAGGTTGCTTATTAATCAGTAGACCCAATATTTCATTCAGGGAAAAACGTGAAGTTCTACAGGATCAAAGATTATCTCACCCTAAAAGATGGTGGAAATGGATGTATATACATTTAGAATATAAGCATGGATGACAGTGAACCAAATCAATTGTTGATAACGAAAATTGTTAGTCGACTGTGAAGAAACTTTGTTAATTTGCTTCCTTTTTTAAGTATTGTATTGATTATGTTGGCAATGTTAGGTTAACAATCAAAACATCCAGCTAAGACAATGGAAAGCCAAAGAAAAAATACATGGAGAAATAAAATCGATAAACTTAGGGTCTTCACTCAGTGTATTTCTTGTTACATGTTTGGTACTAACCAATAAAAGTCTACCACACAAATTGTAAAATAAGAAGTTACATTTTTGTGACAATCATTCTGTTTTGGTATCAGAAACTTAGCACACAGTCATTCAAATAGGATTAAAACACATGCTGATATAAAATTGTAGTTACTACGATGTCACAATTAGAAGATTATGTAAATAATATCGGATCATTATGCAGTTTTGGTTGGACGATTCTCTTTTAAAGTATATAATTTCTTTGGAAAGGAGGATTTTTAAAATTAAAAGATTTGGGACAAATCAACACAAAACGTGCAATGGATTTATGTATACTGTTCCACTTTATGGTTTATATCACGAACTAACCTGTTAGACAACTTTAAAAATTCAACAGGGGCTGAACGGCTGTTTCGTTCTAATATGGAAATCTACAACGGTAGTTTAACGGTATGAATTTCGTTGAAAACAACTTCTGTTAAAGGTTTTAATAAATTTCGTAAAGATATACTAACTGGATTAACGATATTTATAAATAACCTTTCTAGTCCTATGACGACTTCAATTTTGCTATATCTTGATGATACAAAGACGTAGAGAATGACAAAATATAATGAGATTATAAACCGAGTGCATTTAGAATGTTCATCTCTATTTAAGTGCAAATCAAAGCAGTCAAATCTGTTATTCTGTCTTTTGTTCGCCAAGACATAAATAAGCACACAACTTGTAGAATTCTATTATCCAATATAGCAGACTCATGGCAATCTATGGTATTTTATTCATCAGTGAATGATAAAAATCACGAAATGATAAACATTTGAATTAAATCCTTGAGCACTATATACAGTTGAGGACTGTTCTTAAAAAGTGTGAGACGACGTAAACAGTTTCGATGTACTTGTGCACAACTGTTTACAACAGTTCCAAATATTTGTATGATAACATATCGATTGGACAAAATTTATATCCTTTATTATGCAGAAGCATTCAAGTTGAGTTCATTAAAAATCTAAGATTAATTAATCAAGAAATGCGAGTCTTTCGCTTCTTAGTTTTTTTTCTTTCCTGAATTACGAGTGTCCATGGATACGGTGACAATCCCAAAGGCTAAGAATTAGCTACCTGCTAACTGATTACGTAATTCCACATCGGTAATATCGACAGGTGGTAATATTTCTCTCCATATATTTTCTTGATAAGAAAGGCTGTTCAACTGCGAAACTTAAAATACCTGAATTAACACTGGCCTTCTAGGTTTCACTACCTATCAACTGAAACGTCCAGTTTATTGGCTTGACTTTTAATAAGAAGCAAAATGTACTTATGCTACTTATATATATTAAGTAAGCTAAAAAACTAAAGAAATTGGAAAACACCTCAACATCGAAATATGTATCAGATCAACTTGGATGGACTCAAGTTTTCCATATGTAGACTCTCAACAACAAAGCATACAGTGAGGCAAAAAATACTTCATAAAATTTAATTGATGTACGTTATTTTTTAAATGTGTGATCTAAAGGAATATTAAGTCAGTTAGTCAGCTAAAACGTAAGACCAGGGACATACATGCATCATTCACATTCTACACACTGGAATCCAGAATGATTGTCGATGAATTGGATAGTCAGGTTGTTGTTTTTCCTGCTCACTGTCATTTGAAGGGCAGTCAGTCAGCCAGCTACAACGTAGGACCAGGCAAAAATATGCATCTGTCAAAGTTGCCACAACCTAATTAGCACAACAAGATGAACGCCGAATTCATAGAAGTAGTTAATTTAATGGTTGTAATATATAAAAGAAAGATTGTATATAGCGATATAGTACAAGAAGGAAGAAAGATATGAAGCAATTTTAATCTCATAGTTTAAGGGAAGACAGAGAGTGAACACACCAACGCCATTATGATCCATTCTGAGTCATGTCACGCGGACCCTACCAACCAAGTAGTCTGCATCTACCAACATGGATCAGAATATAAGTTAGTGACTTCAAACTCTGATGCCACATTTTCGTTTGACCGCCGATAACTCTCTCCCAACCATCCCCAATGCTAGTCAGCATTGCGCGTCGTGGTAATCAGTGTTCAGGCATACGTAACACGTAACCCAACCATCTCAGTCGATGAAGATTCATCACCTCATCAACTGATTTACCATCATTAGACTAATACCACATGTCTAACCCCACTAATACTTACCCGGTGATCCCAGCAGATGTGAGCAATATTTCTAAGGCATCTGTGGTCAAATACTAGTAACCTACGAGTATCTTCTACTCTTAATGGCCATGTTTCACAGCCGTAAAGTAGAACAGAGCGAACTGCTGCACAGTATACTCGTCCCTTAATTGATAGACAGATATCTCGTCTTTACTATAGGTGACGTAAGATGACAAGAGCCAAATGAGCTTTTTGAATCCGTGCTGAGATTTCGTCAGAAACCAACTCATTAGGGCTGATCAGACTTCCAAGATAAGTGAAGTTGTCGACGCGTTCGACTACTTCACTCCCAATCCTTAGTTCAGGTGTTGAAGCAGGCCAGTCCTAGAGTAAAAATTTACATTTAGATGGGGAGAAACGCGTCCCAAACATCCTTGCATTGTTACTCAGTACTACCGGACACAGCATTTTGTCAGCGTCTTCATCAAACAGGACTACGTCATCTGCGTATTCTAAGTCAATAAGTGGACCTCCTAGTAGGAGCTATAGTTGCTAGAACAATCGTTTGTTGAGGTCCTACCATGCCAGGTAGGTCGGTTAAAGAACGGTAAAACAAAAAGCAGTAAACTCAACGTCCGAAGGTGAAGTCCTACTGCTGATTGTACAGCAGTGTGATTGCAGTAAGGTGTTTCTTTCAGACAACCAGCATAACAGCGATGCTACCTTCCCACAATGAGGGATGGGGTTAGAAAATGTCGACCTTAAAAATGTACACCTAGCCTTATACCACGGATATTTTTATCGGGCGGTAAGGTCTCAACAAGTATGGAGGCTAATATTTTAGATGCTATATTAGTCAAACTAATCTCTCTATGGTTATCACAGGATGATTTTCACCCCTTCTTATATATTGGGACAATCAGTGATTTTAACCAGTGTTATATCTAGAGCCTTGATCCTTACTATGCCGCAAACTACTAGACTACTTGAACGATAGAACCCGCAACGTCGCAAAAGAGAGAAGACAAAGACTAGTAAGTAGGAAGTTTATTCCCCAAATCAGTGTCAAAATATAGTACAGAAATCTCGTGTATTTATAGTTTTTTGGCTAAATGTAAATCATCATTTCGGTCAATCAATAGGCACATAGGGGTCATGCTAATCCATCCAATGGGGAAGCTACACGTCGACATTCTAGAACATTCCCCTAGCAGTGATTGGATGGAATGTCTGTGGCTCTTCCTGGGCTTCTTAAGGCTTCCTAGAGTCTACCGACGAGCCGTCCTTACAACCAGTCACATGGGATTACGTCCGACTCCCAGGTTTTAGCGAAAATATTAGTCAACCTAATCGCTAAAATTGGACCACCATATTTAAAGACCTCTGGAGCCAATTCATGTGAACCAGCTGCCCTTCCTCTTTTCAGATTAGCTATAGCCTTTTGAACTTCACTTAGAGTCGGGGGATCTACTTCAATTTTCCACTCAAACTCTTTGAGAATGGTGAGTAACTGTAGATTAGCTGTTCACACTGTTATTCTGATTTTAATAAAGTAAAACTTGTAATTTTTAATAAATAACGGATCTTATAACACAATTAACCTCCACAGTGAACAATATTATTATAAACTATTTTTAAATTGTTTTTATCCAAAATACTAATGAAATGTGAGCGAATTGAAAAATGAAACATTATTTTAAAAATGTTGCTTTCACTTCTCTTCAAATTGCTTTGTTTTAGGATTTACTGGTAAATTTGAATTAAGCCAAGAAAAGTGACTACTTGAAATCGGTAGTCTTTTGAGTGTCTGTAGTTGTGGATTTGTGTCAACTCGTAAATTATACAATTGATTCATAAGTAATTTATTGATTGTACTCGTCCATAATTGTTTCACTGTATTATCGTTTGATCTAAATGTGTACGTGGATCCATAGTTTTCAGTAAATAATGAGAAACATCGATCATGTGAATTTGAAAATAATCCAATCCGATGTAGCTTTTAAACAAATGCAGAAATACAGAGAAAATATGATTAATTTGAGCTAGAACGTTTCTGAAAACTATTTAGTCTGTAGATCGCTTTCCTCAAAGATCGTCTCTGACTAATGTACCACAAAAAAACAGAGAAGGTTAATAAGTGTCTCAATCTACATCCAGACTTTTCAGTAGATCAAATACCCACGAAACCTCAATACGGGTCCAACCCGAAGTTTTCCAGTATTACAGTGAGGAAGATAAATTAGATCGGTATCTGGTGTCTCAAAAATCTAACTCCATTTTATTTGTAATATAAATTGACGAATACCAACTGTCATTGGTGTGCACTGTTTCACTTTAGATATAAATGACCCCTAAATATTACAGTTTTTCAGTTAAACTTCTGGAATTCTTGTCAATATTGGTTAGTAAAAGAGAATAATAATTAGAAAGGGGTTTTGTGGAGATTTTAGTAATTTTATGTAGTTGAAATTATTAGTCAATTGAAGCTAGACCACAATGGAAAACCTGGAAGCACTGAACGGACGTTATTAGTATAGAAAATTTTCAATGAAAACAGCTGAGCGTTCATAAAATCCAGTGTAATTAATAAATATGAAAACGAAAATTTTCTCAGTTACCAATCAGTGCTGACTAAATTTATCACTTAAAGGTTCATAGTTAATGTTTAAAATTTTTGTGAAGATTAACATTCGTGAATGAATATTATAGATATTATCAAACCATTTTTAAAAAAAATATCACTTCCATGTAATTAAGTATGAGAAGGAAGGAGCGAAGAAAATCTTATTTATTTATTTCATCCATAAAAATCTTTTTTTAAAAACATTGAAATTCTTTGTAAACTCGATTGTTCAGGTGTTATATCGATCGCGTTCATGCCCTGTTAATATATGAAGTGATAAGACCGCCAATTAGAGAGCAGTGTTTTATCGATCGGATCCCATGATACACAAAAGCCGTCTGAGCAGTCTTGAGTGCTTATCAATCCTGCTTTCTGCCTAGCCCAGTCAGTTAAGTCCAGAACACCGACAACAGCCTCTGCAGTATGAATCATTATTCTCAAACATACTGGGTTTATATACCAACCAAACTGACCACATCTTACCATAAAATAGAAAATAACATTTTGTACAAGATTTGACCAAATATGGTTGTGAATAAGGAGGAACAGTAATTAATAGACTGGGTAAAACTCAAGAATAGTAAATCGTATAATAATAGTTTATAGGTCAAATAAAGCTTATAATAAGAGGGACACGAATATGAATAGTTTGGTTATTTAACAATTATACAATAGGAAATATACGTATCATAGTGGCCCATAAATAGTTCTCAGATGTTACCATTCATAAATCTCCACAGGATATAACACCAAGTTAAGAGACTGAATTTCAAAATTGATTGATAGATTTGTGATCAGCATTATAAAATAAAATGGTGCAGATTACTATACACTGAGCGCATATATAGCCTCTGCCAGGAAAGTTCTACTCGTTGCCTCCCCGTGACATTACAGTTGTTTACGAAATTGAGAGGACAGAAAGCGAATGTCCGGCGCTTTAACCGGGTTAATGGACACGGTAAGTCTACCAAGGGGAGTTAGAAAACCCTGATTCCAAACCAATGGTGCACATGGGCTGGCTCCAGTATCCTGAGGGAACAAATGGCGTATGAATCAATCGTTGGTCATCAGCTATCATGAGACTGCATCTCCTCACGATGCTCCACTACCTTGTGGATCAGACCATCAGGTCAAAGGTTCCGGATGTGGCCCCCTAAGAGAACCACCTGCTTCAGTTTGGGCACCCGGGCAGTATCACAGTCCTCACACAAATCAAATGAGATTTGTGTGGCGCATATTTATCTGGTGCCCCTTTGTATCAATATTTATATGTTTGAATAAAAGAAAAAAATTGTAAAACTTCAAATAAAGAGTTTGAAGGTGATTAGCATTTGCAAATACATTTTTCATCGAAATTAATAATGTTACAGTAATACGATGAATAAGTCTTGAAATAATGTATCTTTAGGTGCTTGACTATACTCTAATAAAACAAATTCATTGAATCATTAAATCTGATCTATTAGAAGATATTTCTTTTCCTAGAGTGTTATTTATCAGAGTAGTTGAAAATCATATTGCATTAGTTCGATGTTTCAAATTTTCGTTTTCATTATTGATGTCCATGAATGACTCATTATTGCCTGACCTGTTATTTCTAGCAGAACAATGTAATGTTCATTTAAATAGTATCTATCTCAGATGTTGCAAAATGCTGGGACACGTGTTCAATTTGCAATTTAGGTTAATCCTATACTACCTGAATGATATATTAACATGGTAAATAGTGAAAGTTACATTTTGTTATGAATTTTCGATAAACATGTCGTGAGAGTGTAGACGTTTGATGTTTGGCCAAAATAAGAGTGATCAAACTTGTTGATAATACTATCAACACTAAAGAAACAAGTCAACACATATGTTGATAATTCATTTTCAAGAACAAATATGACTGACATGTGGGTTTATGTTGAAATAGTTAAAAATTTGATAGTAATAGGTCAAAAGTTTTATTGAATGTAGGTACTTCTGTCAATTTGTAAGTCATCAACAATTATAATTCTTACGGATGACCAATAAAAAAAAGATTAATATTTGATTAATATTTGTTCAAATATTAGTCTTTTAATATGATTGGGATTTTTAAACGAGAAAAAATAGATTCATTTGTTATGTATTTTTCATTATAAATGTGTTCATGAAGAAATGACAGATCATCATTTCTTCCAGTAAAGCAGTATCCATAATAATGATGTCAAATTGACAATGTTAACGGTCATTCAATACTTCTCAGGTATCTAGTGCACATACAATCTTAAGTCAAAATTATTCGTTACACTTTCAATAATTTGTACTGGTTTTAATTCCTTGATTCGAAGTCAATTTCATAAAATATAAAGACTTATAAATAATTTATAATTTGGTTTCAAAAATTAATTATTGTTGAATGTGTAAATTGTCGGATGCTAACTCAGCAGTTCGAAGGCGAAACACTCGCAGCTTGTTTCGGAGACCCCATGTTCAGTCTCTGTTCGGGTAGGAAATTCGCTCTTCTGAAGAGTTCCGTATCTGGATATAACAAGTATCAAGTTTATTCTGTTTTTGAAACGCTGTTTAATTAAACTTAGTCCATGATATACATTGCAAAGTCAACAATATTCATAACTACTTTTACTGAAGAATTGAAACAAAACATGTACTTACACATATTTCTTCTTCTACTTCATATGATTTATTACAACTGAGCTTACTATTATGTGAAAAATCAAAGAATGCCAAATAATCATCCAAATCTGGAAACTGATCTTCAGAGCTGAAAAATAAACAATTACCGTATAACATTCAATAAAAAAGATGATTACCCCTTATTATTAGTAATTGATGTTTTAAATGAAACGCGGTACTTTGTCAATAGTAACATTTCAGTAAATAAAATTACATGAAAATGTCGTTTTGACTTAGTAGATTTGATTGTTCGGTTAACAGTGAAATCAGCTTCTAGCAAAAAATGTCCTAATTTTGATGGTGCTACCTGGAAATAAAAATAAAATGATAGTAGTTTAGAAGTAGAATTATAATTGAACAGAATAAACTATAAAACAAACAAATAAACTTGTAACTAGTGAGAAAGTGATCTATAAGTCAAATTACGTCAGTGTTGTTGATTGAATTTATGTATAATTAAAGTTCGTGAATTATTAGCAAATAATAAATTAGTATAGGGGTTCTGAGAGACTGTTAAATTTTCATAATTTTGATCGCAGACTGAACTTGTTTAGACGGCGATTAAAAAATCGAAATACGTTTCACCTCAGTATAGGACTCGTCATCAGTGTGTATCCAAAACACCACCAGAAATAGGGCTTAGAACCTTCTTCCTTGAAGCAACAGCTAAAACTCTAGACTATTTAGCTGACCTATAGTAGTCTAAATATCCGTTTTCAATCAGTTTGCAATATTGCACTGAGATCTTTCGTTACCTTATATGAATAACTGGCTTCCTCTAGAAATGGTTGAACTTCACTTGTCATGGCTGTCCAGTGGTTCCTGGTTTTTAGTGTTGGTCCAAATAAAATCAGTCAGTAATATAAACTATGAGAAGAAAAAATCTACACATTAAGATGTACCCGTTTGATTGGAAATGGGTTGTAAAATCCAGTATCATTCTATTTTACCTGATGGACACGGAACTCAATATCTATAAAAAGTAAACCCATTCATTTATGAGCCAAGAATGACATACTAGAAAGACTAAGTATACATTCACTTGATTTATCAGAAAGCACTGATATCAGTTTTAATAAAACAAGACTTGTCTATCTAAATGAAATATATTCAGTCTGATCTGTTTTTCATGGCTAACAATATGATAAACGTTTTTCTAAGGTACATATAATGAACAATTAACTTTTATCGGTGTATAAAGTATCTACATTTACTAAATGCAGTTGACTGTTCATCATCAATTAGTGAATTAGTTCAATGTATATAGATTGTTGATCTGTAATTAGGGAAGCTTAATAACTCATAAAAAGATCATGATAGTATTTGTTGATAATTACCGTCAGACCACGCAGATTCATTGTCACATTTACTGTATCACATATTCTGTTGAATGTTTGACGAGCATCGTCCAAGTATTTACTTAAATTTAAAAAAGTACAAAATTATTTATTTAAATGAATACAAACTTTAAATATAGATTTCGGATTTTAAAAAATTAAGAATGATAAAATTCATCATTTTATACAAAAGAGTTACGAACATTAATTAATCAACAATGTTACGTATGCCTGAACGCCGATTACCACGACGCACAATGTTGAATGGTATTGAGGACGGTTGTGTTACATTAAACCGTTTTTCTCTAGGACTATCAAAAATCTCAGAATCAGAACATCGAATGACTTCAGTTTCGCTTCAGTCGCTTAGCAACATGCAGAATATGGGAAGCTACCAGTCAGAATATCAGAAAAGTAACGTTTTTGTGGTGAGGATAACGAATTTGATCCACATTTACTAAGCATTTAGAAGGCAAATTTTTCAAAATTACCTCGAGGTTAAATTCACGATAAACATAATCTAATTAAATGAACCACTCAACGATTGATAGGTAATACTGTGTGAAAATACCTTTGCTTACTTAAGCCTGAAACCCTTTGAGGAGTATAAGCCAACGTACAGGGACCTCCAAGTAATCCTGCCCCGTTCTTTTTTTCAGTTGTTCCCAAGTGTTATTCATTCTTTAAATGTCTTCCCCTAAGTCCGATCGTAATACGTTCCTTGCTAGAGATTCTTTGGGATACATTTTGATGGATACCACAAAGTATGTCTTTTCTTAATTTCCTCCTCAACTGGCAGGGTAGCTTGTTCTCTGACACAAAAAGCCAATATTGATGGTCATTGACCGATGGGTCTGGAGTATCTTGTGCAGACAGTTGTATATAAATACCTGTAACTTACTGATGATGATGGCTGTTGTTCTACAGGTTAAAGCTACACACAATAGAACTTCATCAACATAGGCTTTGGAAATTTCGACTTTGTTGTTGGCTGATAGTGGTTTTGGGTTTAAATATTCTCCATAGAGGTTTCCACACTTTTTGGTAGACCTTGTAAGGCTTGGACCTTGTTGATGAGAGCTATTTAATTCAGTGTCAACCTATACATCGTTATTCCGAGTTTCCAAATGCTGATAAGTTTGTTTCAGATTGACATTTAGATATTTTATTCATTTCAATTGATTGCCGTGTATCAGTCAATGTCACACAATCTGATTATTAGCGTTAATTGTACTATTTGAATAATGTTTGCGTCGCGTCCATCAGTCTTATTTGACCTGTATAAAAAATGGTGTGATGTTGGTTTTCTAAAATTAATCAAGGGGATATCCTCATCTTCGGTTCGATATTGAGCCGAATTCATCATAAGTCTTATCTACAGTCTTGTAAAACTAATTAATACCCAAAATCACGAACTTCACTAATTCAGTTTCTTAGAGATGTTAAAACTATATTACATGGGTGGCGACTTATTCCAAATGTGACTGAAACATTTATACTAATCGGTCTGTCAGTCTGCCACTGAAACTAATAAACAACTTAACGTGATCAGTAACACTAAGCTATAAATTTTTAAAAGAATGAAAGTTCGACAGAGAATATACAGTAATTACCAGTTAATTTGTCGGAAACTTTAGTCAAACTTACACATCAGATAAGTTCGCTTCTTTTTGTAGTTTATTCAATAATACGTGATAAGATTGAATACGTCGTACAGGTTTGGTTAGTTGAGATTTAAATAGCTCGGTATCAGTGTTATAATTTCCAATTTTTTCATTTGGTTTTTTTAAAACCATACTTTTACATGAAACATTTCCTAAATAAGCACATAGTCGTTTTGTCTTTTCATGGAATAAACAATACGTAGTATACAGGTCAATGAAGCAAGGTGCCTAAATTTTAAAAGAAAACGACGATAAAAAGTATTTTCGAAAATAAAGTCTAAAGTGACGAATAGTAACGTTTCTAACCAAAGATATTTTTGTTTTAGTTGGTATATGCGTTTCAATCTCATTAGTTAATGATGAAGGAATGTCCAATAATAGTTACTTCGAATATTTCATGCATTTATACAATCCCTCTTTACTGTCATTTATGTGTAGATGAACTACTGTTTGAAGCAATTAGTCCCTTTGATAAATTTCGATAATGTAATAAGAAAACGAAAATTATCAGAACTATGTGGTACATTAGCACCATACATTTTGAACAACCTGATCACACATATGTTTGTTAAGAATATTTATATATAAAAATCAAACGTCAACTAGACTAGAAATGGAAGGTAAGAGATCACGATTACTCCTCCCTATGTGATCTCGAAATTAGGGTTTGTGAACATGTACCTGAATGTTTGCAGAAACAAGTAAAATCAAATGACCCAATAACAGTAAAGGATAAAGATCCATCATCCTCTGTTGCCAAACATATAATTGAAACAGGTCATAATACTGATTTTAACTCGGCTTTTGTAGCGTTGTACAAAGTGTAAAAGGGCGTATGCTATTGTTTATTGAAGCCTTGGCCGTGTGAAAATTCAAACCCCCTTTGTGCATTCGAAAACGGTCTGTGTTCACCTTAAACCTGCCCTGGTAATATTAGCTTATTATCCAGAGTGATGAGGTTTCGAAATGTTTTCACATTATTATTATTATTATTATTATTATTATTATTATTATCCTTGTCTCCTCTTACCCTCCATTTCTAGTCTAGTTGACCTTTGATTTTTATATAGAAATGTTCTAAACAAGTATATGTGTGATCAGATTGTTCGAAATGTTTTGCGCTAATATATCACATAGTTCTGAGAATTACTGTTTATTTGAAATGTTAAATATATCATTTATTTACAAATTAATTCAATAAATGACGGTTACACCTTCTTAACTGTACTGTTTGATCACAGTAACAGCAACTCAGTAATATCCCTTTCCATTTATTAACAATATTTACCCTTAAACGATGGTCTTTTCATTTGATAACATGCTTATATTCGAGAACTCATTAAAACGGATCAACAGAACAGAAACAATAATTCAGCAACAGATTTCCTAGGGAACTGTTATACAAAAGCCAATGAATGTTATATTCTGAACGGTCAGTCAACTGATTTCCATTTGAACAGCCGAGTAGACTGATTAACCTTCTCATATTTTAGTGTTCAATTAAATGAACTATTTTGACAGTACAACAATGAGGAATACTCTGTTATATTCGGTATTAACTTCACATTTAATTATGGCAGAAGGGGAATTTCAATTTCGTCTGTAATTATTTATTTGAATCACAGTCGTTGAATAGATAAGTCATTTGTCAGATACTGATTTACTGCAAATGAATCTCAAAGAGTCAAGCATATTTTTATCGTCCAGACACGTTTACAACTGGATGGAAAAATTTTAAAATTGGGTTTTTGATCATAGCAATTTTCTTCACTTTTTTTGGAGGATACAATCGAATAATTAGGCCGAACATATTCTACTGTGTCACTGACTGAAACACACTTGAAGTATCGTAGGTGCATTAGTTTCTTAAAAGTGAAGTGTGACTTATAGCTAACAACTACTGGCCACTGGAAAAAATTGTTAGTACATATTATTTTTACATTATGCATTCATTCATGGTAATATATAAACTTAATCACAAAATACAAGCATGGAAGGTACTGCTCACGAAATTACCAACAGAGAGTTACTTAACTCAGTAGTTTAATCAGTTATTCGTATGTTGAGAAACGCCAGACATATCATACAATATTTCAGTTGAGATGCAAGTATAGGCGAGCTAGTGTCGATGAACAAATTACTTATGTTACTGATGTCACCCTCTGCGTGTTGTTATTCGAGTTGATTTTGTTACCTGTAACATATGCATAAATTGTAGAAATCAAAGTTTGTTTTTAGAAATGAAGTCGCTTAAACATTATTGGTCGTCATCTTCTCCACAGCTAGTTTTTTCAAGATCTAAGAGTTTGTGCAATGAATGAATAAACCACAGACTGTAACAATTCTTCCTCAACGAAACATGCATCAGACAATAGCCTTCGGAGAATAAACTTTAAGTGGATATACGCAATTAAGGATTACGACTATCACTTGGCGACTAATATATAAAATGACTGAAAAACTAATTACGAAAAAGAACATACCATGATAGAAGCCCAATATTTGATCATCTTAGCACTTCCATTGCATTCTTTCAATGTAGGTAGGACATGTCTGTAATGTATATCATAGTTGGAAAAAAGTTTTGTTGTTTGGAGGTGTAGAATTTCAGAGGAAATATTTTAGTTACTTTTTTCGTCTACTGATTTGAAAAGGACAAACCAAATTACCCGAATAAATTCGGTAACTTGGACCTTCATATATTTTTTCACTGAAAATTATCATGTAATTTGAAATCTATAGATAAAGTACTTCCCAGTGGATCAAAACATTCTACATTTCTTCGGATCAAATTATCACATAATCATAGTCATTTCGAAAAGTTTCGCGTAACTAAAGTAAACTTTATCACTAATCCAGTTCGTGATTATGTAGCATATAACATTATACTGAACGTTCCTGTGGTTACTTATCGCAATTAATAGAGTTACGTTTGCAGTTATAGAATCTTTCCGAGAATTAAAAATTGAAACTGATTTACGTGTTAAACCCTGTAAGTAAATGATGACGATAATTTGAAACATAGTACCTAAATCTAGAGGTATCTAGGGTTCAAATACTCTGTGAAAAATGATTAAAATTAGGATCCAGAAACAAGAGAGTAGTCAACCAAACAACGGATGAGAGTATAAAACAAATCATATCTTAATAAAATTTTATATACGCTGTTTTGAAAACAGCCAAGGTATCCAGAATCAAAGCTTGAGTAATTTACAAAAAAAATAATCATTAAATTGAGGAATGAATGGCGTCTAAAGTAGAAAAGAGAAAATTAAATTATCCGAAAAAAATAAAAAAAGTGTCTTTATAACTGGTTCGCTGGTACCTGGATCTTAGTATTGATATTCATATTCCAGTCCAATAGTTATCACTTAGGTAGCCGATGAGTTAGTCACTACGCAACTAAGTATAAGTACTAACTAGCTTGTTTAACAGATATTTTATTTATCATTCTTATGAGTTTTTGGTTTTCCCATTGTTGACATTCAGGTCTGAGTTTTAATAAATCTATATGGTTCACGTGTACTCTGAGCTTCAAGATATTAGCACTAATTATATATCATACAAAACAAAATCTAATTATTTCAACTGTAGACAATATCGTAAATATTTACTGAAGGTATACACATTCTAAAAGAGACTAATAAAAAATTATCTTTTGAAGGTCAACTTGAGGAAAAATTCATTCTAAAACACAATTACATGAACGAAGAATATTTTTTTCAATAATTTCTCATCAGATTCTACAATTATAAATCCAAATTAATAATCCACAAAAAATTGACCAAGTTTAAGGCAGAGTACATCATTTCAGAAACTGTAACATGTGAATCAAGGAGTGTTTGTGATATAAAATAAAATCGAATCGTTAATGTTGGAGCTGACTAATATGAAGTGTTAACTTGAATCAGTTTATAGGTGAAATAAAATCGTAAGATAAATGATCAGAATATATATATAGTTGACATGGGGTGAGAGATAGAACAATGGGATTACAAATCAGAAATTACGTAATATGTAGAATAATATGAATTAGGTCAGATATAGTAAATAGGGATGGATGTTGAATAAATTTCTCTAAAGGGTTAGCAAGTGTGATAATAATAATGACTGGTAAGATGTATAGATAAGTTTAGGATATAAAATGTACATTATTCGAATTAACGTCACCATATTATAAAATTGATTATTAACAAGTTGACCCTGAAGTTGGTCAGGGTGAAAGGAGTGGCTGGACATATTTCATTTGGATGCAAAGCTTTAACTTTTTGATCTGAATATGAATTATTAATTTGAATTTTCTAATTGTAAAACCTGATGAGAAATTATTGAAAAGAATATTCTTCATTCATATAACTATGTTTTAATATGATGAGAATTTTTCAGCGATTAAAATTCATTGTATTAAAAAAATATTAAATTTGAATTAATATTATTTAGTCTTAGCAACAATATATTTAATTTTAGTTTAACTATTAATGTCGATTATTTCTTATTTGATTGATATTCAAGATAATAAGAAATGATTTTCAAAAAATTTCAAATATTCTTATTGAATTTTAAATATTGATCATGTGATGATATTTAAATATTTTCAATCTTCTGTATATTCATCAATTTGATCGATCCAATAATTGATTTATCAAAAGAATAAACGATAATATATATTTTTTTGAAAAGTTAAATACTAACAAACCATTATAATCTAGTTTAGACTATTTAAATGATTTGGAAAATTAGACAATTTATAGGTTATCAAAAATGAATATTATATTAAAGCATTGTAAATAACTTACATTTTATGAAATGAGAGTAATTCAAACCAATTCCCAAGTAATTTCTGTTTTAATTGAGTTAATGGAATCTGTGTAATACCAACTGATTTTTTAAAGTCAAGTTCTTGATTCAACATGACCTTCTAAATTATTAAATAATGCAAATGGTATATGTGAGAAAAAACGAAAACAAAAAATTTTGTGTAAATGGTTGAAATAAGCAAGAAAAAAACATTTTTAACAGTATTATATCAATAACTGAGTACAGCAAACGTTAGCAGGTACATTCAACTGATGGATGTTAAATGGGACGAATTATACTCTTTAGATTCTACTTCTAACCGCTATTCAAATACATTCAAACTTGCTGAAAAAGGTTATAATGAAGAGGTTCCCTCAAGAGGCACATATACGACCATAGACTGATCAGTTTCAGTTAACGTATAATTATAAAGAACTGTGATGAAAATAACATCAACTTGCTGGTAAAACGTTTTTGATTTTCTTGAAATTTTAGTGGTTGACTGGCTTATCTAATCACTTTTATCTATTTAGACATATTTTATTCTTTAACAAGGATGTCTGCTTGCTTTAAATAATGTTATTAAGTTTATTTGCTAAACATAAAAATAGGATACTTCAGTTTATCACTTTTCACATAAGTGCCTAATCTTACCTCATACTTCTGCTAATTGATTTGTAATAGTTGGATGAAAACTGTATTTAAGGTTTAATAACTTTTAGTTTGTTGATAGATCATCCCCTGATTAAACAGTTATTCCGGAAACAGTAAAAACAAATATCACAATAAAAACCACCAGTTCGTCTTTGGAAGATTGCTGACAAATTCTAACAATCACTAGAGATTAATTGTTTTCAGATGACTGTTGACGACCTAATTGATGTTTAATCAGAATATCTAAAATATTATATGTTCATTTCTTAATGATGACAAAAATATTCAGACGTCACATAGTTTGCTTGCAAGAAGCTGGTAAGACTCGAAAGTTATCAGCCAAGTTAATCATGTATTTATTTTAATATCACCTTAGAATAATGGTTCTAGAAACAACACAGACTCTGTCATGGATGTGTTTAGAATATTAGAATAAACGAAACAAAAATTAAAATATGTTCAAATGATAATGGCTTTATTAAATAGAAATAATATATTTGTAAAATTTTAGTGAATGAATTTGAAGTTGAAATTGAAGTTAATAATGGCTTTAGTTGATAATCATTCAGTTTAGTGACAGTGCCTCTGAACAGGATATTTAATAATTCCACTTCAAAATTTTAAAGGTTCTTACTCATTTCATCAACATATATTAATACGCAATTGATCAGGTAACGTAACTCTTAAACTTATTCAGTTTAGCCCTAAGTAATTAAAACCAATATAAACTTGTAAACAATTTAATCTGAACATCTAAAAACACAAGTGTTTATCGGAAAAGATGTATTCTCTTAAACTGATGGAAGTTTATTACATCTTAAACAGTTTATAATTATAAACTCATTAAAAATCTGACTATTGAATATAAAAAAAATATTTACTCACATCATAAACATCTTGTAATAAATTGATATACTTATTTTCTGTATCCAATAATTCTGTCCAAACTAGCTGATATGTAATGTTCACGGTCATCAGTAATCGTATATTGATATAATATTTATCGATTCAAATATTAATAAATATTCAAGTATCAATTATACATTTCTCTTCTTTATTGTAAAATCTAGACAGTTATTTTTTCTTCTCAAAAACAAACAGGTAACAAATGAATATTAAAATTCAACAGAAATCATAAAGAATATTTAATCAGTTCATTTGAATTAAACACATTGAAAAATAATGTTATCACTATACTTTAAATAAATTTAAATTCTAAGAACTGCATCTAATATACAATCAATATCGGATTAATGTGTTATATAGAAAACAATTGAAATATTAACCGTATTAAATTAACCATTGGTTCTTTAGCTTTCATAATAGTATGAAGTACTTGGTACAATAACAAATAAGCTATATATATATATATATATATATATATATATATATATATATATATATATATATATATGCAGCTTCACTAATACAGTTGTGTTGACTAATATCTAGAACATTTGAATTATAATAAGAAGTATTATCGTTAAGATCAATGAAATAACCTGAAAGAAAACAAAACACTTACTAGTGAGTGTTTTATATCTCAATTCATATATATATATATATATCTTTTTAAGTGTTTATAATTTTATCAGTGTGAATATATACTCATTGTATTAGAGAATTCAAACTGAGAATATACTCAATATATATATATATATATATATATATATATATATATATATATATATATATATATATTACAGTTTTAATGATTCCCATAGTGAATTCTATTCATTTATCTGATTAGAAATTATTATATAATCGTAAATGTATGAATTGAGTACTTTAAATTAGATAAGTAATGTTACTTTTGGTGTTATACTCCAAACATAAATAATCTTTAGAGTAAACATTATCTATATATATGATTGTTAACTAATCTATTACGTTGAACACAAATTCATGTAGTATATATATATATATATATATATTAATACCTGAGGCTCCTTAAATTCGGTAACTCCTTAGTTTGTATGTTAAAACGCTTTTAAGGAACCGGGAAATAACAATTGGCACCCATCGATTTCACACTTCAGATTGTTTATTATTGAATGATTATCAGTTTTAGACGAAATTTATCTTCGAGTCTTTTAAAATCTAACGATAATAAAATTCTTCTAGATAAAATATTTTCATTTTTATTTGAGCTACTGATTGTTGATTTAGTAGATACAAATGTTTATACAAAAATGCAGGTACTCTAAACAACTTCCGAAGTTAGTATAAAAAATCAACTTGTAAGTTCATGTATTCTCCTAACCAAATAGCATTAAGTAGTGAAAAAGATCATTTTACTATCTAATACTTAAACTGATACTTGATCGACTGGTATTGCTGATACTGCTGGTATTAAATCATTTGGTAATAAACTATTTTGAGTTTGTCAATTCGTGAACTAGTTTTAAGGCATACTATTGACCAGCTATGAATTGATTAACTGAAAGTTTTAGTGAAAAATCTGGTGTAAAACAAATCGCGAATAGATCCATATTATAGAAAGGTTGTTTTAAAGTTAAGGTCATCGAGATTACAGTTTAATGATCCATAAACTGACTAATTTGTTTTCGTTTCATAACGTGGATTTCATAAGTCTCGTGGAAGCTTCATTAATTTCTTTGGCGTCTATAGAAAATAGTAAATAATCAAGTACCATATTCTCTGGCTCTAGATAGCTTTTATCACGCTGGAGTTTTCCACTTTCCTGGATGCTCACATTATCAGGCTCGAGTAAGTTTCAAACAGAAAGACGAAGAACATTTCTACTAAGGACGGACACTGTTCAATATGTCTGGCTGTTAAAACGGCGTAAATCAATTAAAATTTACTGAACAGAACTGTTAATTATTAACGAATAAGCTCTCTATTGAATGCGAGAAAATCAGGTCAGCTAACAATAAAGGAAAATGCACAAAAAAGTATTGAATAAAATCCCAGTATATAATTAATTTGAAATCAAACCACAGAAAAACGTAAAATTGTTTTCAAGTTGCTGAAAAATAAATAGACATATGTAATGTATGCTGATAGATTACAGAATAACAGTTTTGTTTTAATTTGAGTTCCTTGAGAAGTGCATAACTATTATTGTATCCTAAAATAAGTTCAAATGATCCAAGTTCTCTAAGAAGAATTTGTTCTATCCGCCTGTGTGAAAATAACTTCCTACAACAAAAATCCATGTGTAATTATCATAAAACACTATCACTTTCCATCTGGCTTCACCAATCAAATAATATATGGGCTTCTTTATAAATTTTCTTGTCATGCTTTAAATTCCTTAATGGTTCAAGAAAAATGGTACATAATTTTCACATCTTATTAGGCTTTTTTCTCTTTAACTGTGCCATTGAAAATTACCATAATGTACAAACATATTTTACTCTATTGAGTTACAAACTTTAAGCAAGCTTAAAGTGGATTAGTAAATTTCTACAAACTTATATATGACACTGGTGTTTGATTGATTGAATATTTCATTTTATTCCATTCTTGAGTTGTTTAATCACCTCGGATATATATTTTGATAATGAGAAATCATATAATGGGATCAGATTGACACTTCATCTGATATCTTTCAAACAGGGTCAAATGTTCATAAAACAAAAAATTCGATTCAATAAATCAACTTTGCTGTTTATTTTTATTAGTTTTCATCAGTATAATAACAAAGTGACACGGCATGAAATTCTACGAAGCCCATTCATCTGCTTAGGACATAATTTTTCTGTTTTTAGTTTGTTAAATGGATAGTTGTTGTGAAAGAAAAACAATCTAGAATGCTTTCCAAATGAAAATGCCCCAAAAGCTACTGTATATTACATATTTTCTGTTAAGACCTTCTTGTAAAATACTGTCATTATTCTGTAAGATTTATAATTAATGAATAGTTTTGGGCTATTATCTTAAAGATTATTTGTTTCTTCTGTTTCACAATGTAAACCTTGTCGTTATATAGGACTATTGATAATCGTTAGAAAAGTAATTCCAAAATCTGTTGAATAGTATAACCTTTTTACTAATTAAAAGAGTGCTATTGTCATATATTTAAGCTACAAAATCAAGAAGTCAATGAATTCATAATATCAAGTATTGATTTATTCAATAATGAATTCACTAATCTACAGAGAAATAATATTCATTGCTATTCTGATTTAAATATATCAGTAAACTTGTATGAACTGAGTTTAGTATTTTAGAAATGAACAGTGAGAAACATCAAAGTTAACTTTCGTGATTGATCATCAAATTCAGTCACATAGCGACGTCAGTTTCACTTATTTACGTCTTCATGATAAAATATTCAATCCTAAACTATTAGATATCGAGTTTGAATCATGCTATACTTATATCGGCTTGGGTAACCGGTAATGACCTGGCCTTTATACAAAGCGCGAGTTAATCCGAGTAAATTAATACTTGCTTCGTAAATAAGTTATTGTAAGCTATATTATGTATAACTAAAATCACTTATTGGTAATGGAAGAATTTCCTTTTCAACACTGTATAATTCTGTCATCACAGAATTGCATTAAGTAGTTAAACTAAGGGAATTCCAGGTTATGATCAAGGTTATTAGTGGTCTTAATGTTGAGGACAATCACACAATGTGCCATAGACAAAATATTTATAATTTTTATGAGCAGCCTTTTTGAACACCATCATGAAACTATATGATGATCCGCTTGTCACCAAATTCAGTAAAAATTCCGTGTACTTTCAAGTTGATTATTTCCAAATCACATAATGAAACAAATTTCCCTAATGGATTAAAACTGGCGCAACAATGCAAATATATGAATCTAATAACCTACACGTGAGTCTTTCTAAAGGAAGAAAATAACTCTGAAGCAAAAATAAACGATGATTTGGAATTTATGTCAAGAAGAAAGTTTCCTATGAATCTCAGTTTCAAAGGCTGAAGTTATCGTATGTTTATGAAAATCATCTGCATAGGTAGTTTTTACGAAATTGCATCCAAAATATTGTCTGATTCAAATTTAGAATACATCATCTATTATTATATGTATAAAATACAGATTAGTTTTTATTGAATTATTTGTTCTGTGCTCTATAATTATGATTATATTGCAAAGATGTATACGTCAGAGTTTGGCAGATATATGATGTGCTTAGTGAACACACAAACACAGTAAATGCTAATTTAAATCCCCAACATGATATCCTACATAGCTTTTCTTTGCTGAATTTTATTTGGATAGAATGACTGAGACAACCCTGGCAAAACTGTATGCTATATGTGTAGCCCAGTAAAATGTTTGTCAACTTCGTGAATGTTCAAGATTTTTTTTCAGGGCATAAGTACACAAGCTTAACCACTCGCCCAATAAATTTCGAAAAGATAATAAGATTTCATGAAAAACCATTTGTACGGAGTTTTATAAAATTGTCTTTGAACCTAACTTCCATAATGAATTATTATGAAAATTCAAGAAGTTCTTATATTTGATCGATTGTAAGTGCTAATGGAAAATAACGATGGAATTCTGTTTCCTTGTCACATAGGTAAATTACACCAAGCATTGACGTTCTTAAGATATTTTGCCAACAGTGAAATATTGCATTTAGTTCGATATGAAGCTTATGGATCTTGAACGCCTATGTCTCCTTCCGTTCAGTCAATACTGCCATCGTAATAATTTTCATATAAGATGGTAATGTTACGTGAATAATATTTAGGTTTAGGGACATGTAGAAAAACAACACTGACAGTCGTTTAATCTAATGAGCAATAGTACTGACTTTGAATGTCAAGATATGCTAAACAGGTAATACTAAATAAAGATAGGAGCAGGTGAAGAGAGAGGATATATTCAAGTTATCACATGATTTGAGGAATTGACGAACAGTTGAGTTATGTTGAATAACTATAGATAATAACTCTATGATTATCAATTCAAAGGATCAAGGTGGGGCAGAAAATCAAAGTCAATCGTATTGCTATTGTATTTAAT